ACTTATCAGAGTAGCAGAACAGGGTTAGAACTCCTAAACACCAATGGACAAGTTTCTTCGGCCTATGATAAGATCCAAGGTTTGCATAAAAAGAGTATAGGAAGTTGAGTTGTAAATCCAGCTACTACTTTTCACCTTTACTGTGAAATAGATCACTGTCTAAATGTCATTAGGGAGGGCCAGTATTTAGCAGTTGAATGAGCTTGGTATGTAGCACTATGGCAAAACATGTCAAGGAAATCAAAGTGAGTGGAACATCACATGGACCCAGCTGTCCTGCTGAAGGCTAACAGTCATCATGCTGCCAAATAGGATGTTCTAATGATTAGGATGATGGAGACTGGAAGATGCTGCTTCAATGGCAGAAACAATAACAGAAGCTTCTAGTAGCTATTTGCTCAGGTCTTGTTTTTTTTTCATGAAAGTGGTTCCCCAACCTGTTAGCACTGTCTCTGAGGTTGAATATTAACATCTATCCACAACTGCTGTGAGGTCTTATTTTCATTTTAAATCTGCGTTTTGAGAGCTAATGTATACTTTTCAAAAACAAAATGCAAATGTGTAGCATCAATTCCAGTGACTGACCACTGATCATTTCACAATTGAATTTGGAACAATCACTCAATTCATTTGCTGAATGTAGCTCAACGTGATGTTTAAATTCCTTCATGTACTCCTTATAATTTTCATTCCAGTCAGTGAATGTGGGATGGCAATATTCCACAGCGTGCTCTGTTTCTGCTCACAGAAATAACACCAGATTTTTTTTCAGTTATTACTTGTGGAAATTGCTTCCCTTTTCGGTGGTTGCTATCTCACATGTATTTAACTTGCTCATCTGTTTTCAAGATATATAAGCTTCCATGTATTTGCATGCTAGCTCACAAGCCTTCTCAAAAACGATGACCTTCAGGATTTTTCAAAGAACTGCAGCATTTAATTTCCCCTCTTTAAAAAAACAATCTGCGATGCTGAGTGATTAATTATTATACAGCTGTCAGTTAGCTGATAACTGATTCTTACAAATACAGTCATACAGTGGTCACATTTCTGGGTAAGTAATCTAGAGGCATGTCTTCAAGTCCCACTGTAGCAGCTTGGTAGAGTAAAACCAGCTGATAAATAATTTGGAATAAGAAGATAATATTAATAGTGACCATGAAACCGAGGGGTTCTCCTAAAAACCCATCTGGATCACTAATTTGCTTGGGAAGGATTTTTGGCAAGTTTATCCATCTGTGATAGTCTCTGGCACATTCTCTCTTCAAATGGCCTAGAAAGGCTCTAGCTGTTTTCAAGAGGCAACTCACCAGCACTTTCTCATGGGCATTTATTGACAGGCAATAGATGCTGGCCACACTTGCATCTATAAAAAAAAAAGCATTTTAATACATAGTAGAAACTTAGTGATTACCTCCCTCTTTTAAACCCAATGGACAAGAAGCCAATTTTCTACCATTAACTGGAATCCTGGCTTAGATTGGCTGTCTCAGCAAAGCCCAAGAACAGGGCTGGAGACCTTTATTGTGCATTGTTTTTATGAACAAAGCTTTTGTCAAAAGCATTAGGGACAAGTTGTTCTCTGTTGAGGCATGCCAGTTATCAGTTAGTTCCGCATAGTGCGCATAGTAGTCATTTCCACTTTGTTGTTGTACATCCTATAGTGGTTGTTGCTACCTTGATCATAACAGATGTAGGGAACTGCATAAGGTTCTTGTGGCGCAGAGGTAGTGTCCCTCCATCTGGGTCAAAGTCCAGGCTCAAGAGTTTCCTATAATTGGCTTGAAAGTAATTAAGAATTGGGAGGCCCCGGTTCAAGTTCTCTCCACTCCAGAGGTGTGTCATAACATTTACGAATGGGTTATTTAGCAAATATGTAGATGCTGGAATTAGAGAACTGAGAGAAAACTGTTAAGGAGAGGGATATCAGGTCTGCCAATAGAATTAAATACTGGACACTAACATCAGCATGAACATATCTCGTCGACAGACTTGTATAGTAAACCTTTTCTGTTCTGTTCCCATTGATTTGTCCTCATCTTAAATGCAAAGGAACACTGATAAGGTTTCTGAAGAAGGCTCCAGACCCAAAATGTCAGCTTTCCTGCTCCTCTGATGCTGCCTGGCCTGCTGTGTTCATCCAGCTGTACACCTTCTTATCACTGATAAGATTCTAGTTCTTTTGTCTAGCTTAACCAACCTTAATGGGGAATTTGAAGGAGATTATTTACTTTGCACTGACTTTTGAAGGTGTGAGCGCTATCAGTTTGCTTATTGCTGGCTAGAAACTAGATTGAGAATGTCTAAATTTCTTATGTATCTGCACCCTGGTGCTCACAAAGGAGTGTTTCATTCTATCACTCAGGTGTGGTATATCCAGGTCAGACACCGAAAGAAGTCCATTAATTCTTTGGAACAATTCAACCCTTTGAAATGTGCATTCTTTCTCATGTATAAATTGCTGTAAACATCATTATTTGAAATACATTGTTAATTATTTTTAAATCCTAATGGTCTTTGCAGCAGCCAAAATATTTGAGCTTTGTATCAAACAGATAAGAAAAATAAACTACATTTGCTAACTATTTCTGAACAATGAAATTAAGAAGAAACGTAGAAACATGGAAAGTAAGGAAAAGCTTTAGGCTATTTAGTCTATCAAATCTATTCCATCATTCAACATAGATAGTAGGAACTGCAGATGCTGGAGAATCTGAGATAACAAGGTGTAGAGCTGGATGAACACAGCAGGCCGAGCAGGAAAGCTGACGTTTCGGGCCTAGACCCTCCTTCAGGAAAAAAAATCATTGTTCTTCTTATTTCTAAAGAAGGGTCTAGGCCCGAAACGCCAGCTTTCCTGCTCCTCTGATGCTGCTTGGCCTGCTGTGTTCATCCAGCTCTACACCTTGTTATCCCATCATTCAACAGGATGACTGCTGATCCTCAGTGTCAGAATCCTGCTGTCTTCCCATATCCCATGATTCCTTTAATATCTAGAAATCCATCTGTGACCTGGCCTGCAGAGACTTGTGCAGAGAATTCCATAGGTTCACCACCCTCTGAGTGAAGACATTTATTTTCCTTTTAGTTCTCTGGGGTGTACCGTGTCTCCAGAAGCTGTGATCCTTTGTTCTGAACCCCCAAACCAGAGGATATCTGTATCAAGTCTACCCAACTCTTTCAGAATTGTGTGTTTCAATGAGATCCCCTCTCATGTAGGTCTAGTTAACTGAATGAATGTCTCCCCATATGACAAATCTCTCCTTTAGTAAATAGTGGAATTATGTTCATATCCCTTCAATCTGCCAGGACAGTACCAAAATTCTGCAGATTCTAGAAGATGTAACCAATGCATCCACTATTACTATGAACACCTCCTTTGGTACTTGGGAACGTAGATTATAAGATCCTGAGGATTTATCTGCTTTCAGTCCCATTCATTTCACCAGCACTCTTTTATTAATACTAATTTCCTTCAATTCATCATTTTCAATAGGTGGTTCTTCCATATTTCTGGGAAGTTATTTCCATTGTCTTCTACAAAGACAGAATCTAAGTAGTTATTTAGTTGGTCTTCCATCTCCTCATTGTCTGTTATTAATTTTTCCCATTTCAGACTGTAAGGGACTTACTCTTGTCTTTACTGATCTTTTACTTCTTACATACATATACAAGCTTTTACAGTCAGCTCTTACACCCTTTTCCTGATGAAGGGTCTAGGCCCGAAACGTCAGCCTCTCTGCTCCTATGATGCTGCTTGGCCTGCTGTGTTCATCCAGCCCTGCACCTTGTTGTCTTACATTCTTTGCAAGTTTCCTCTCATACACAGTTATTCTCTTTTTAGAGGTCTATCTTTTCTGAATTCTAAGCGACTCCCAGTCCTTGGGCTTCCTACATTTTCTAGCAACATTATATTACTGTTCTTTAAATCTAATTTCCATGGTTGGGGCCCTTTTCTTGTTCATATTTTTGCACTAAAACAGTACACATAACTGTTGCAGTGCTTGCATTTATTCCTTGAATATTTGCCATTATCTATCCGTCATTATGCCTTTTAATGAACTACCCAATCAATCACTGTCAACTCATGCCTCAGATTTGTGACTTCCTTTGTCAAATTGGATTACTTCACATTATAGCCTGATGAAGGCTTCAAGCATGTGATGGCCATTGTTCTCTAAAGGACCTCATTCGACAAAGTTACTAATTAACTCCATCTCATTTGCACAAAACCAAATCTAGGACAGCCCATTACCTAAGCGGGCCCTCAATATACTGTTTAAAAAAAAAGACTTGAATACATTTGAAGAATTCATCAACAGCATATTGTTGCCAATGTTTATATCCCTGTCTATAAATGTACTAAAATCACCCATGATTACTGTAGCACCCTTTTACATGCATCTCTAATTTCCCGTTTCTCACCATCCGGTACCTTACTCCAACTGTTTTTGGAGGCCTATAGACAACATAGAGTTGTCTGCCTCTTTGTACCCAGACTGATTCAATATCCAGATTCTCAAAGCCTATCCTTTCTCACCCTTGCATTGACTTTGTTCTTTACCAAGAATGCTGCCCCATCTCCCTTTCCTTTTTTCAGGTCCTTCTAAAATGTTGAATATCCTTTGAAGGACTGCAAAGAGATGATTGTCGACATTCAACCTTATCAATGTCCTCACAATGTATAAAACACACCTGTCCCTCTGGACTGAAGGCTTGGTAGATTCACATTGCCTACGTTTGATTGTTGGAGCCAGAATATGAATTTAAATTCTTCCGATTGTGTTATGGCTGTCAACTTTTTCCTGTGTAATTTTTTTCCTGCTCAATGTACAATCAAACCTCTTCTTAAATATTAATATAGTTCCTGTTGTGTTAACTAACTTTGGAAGTGTACTTTACCACCTCACAACCATTTCTTTATTGTAGGTTTTAAACAAGCTTTCTTTCTGACGTAAATTTCTGCAAAGACTCCATAGTTTTCTTATTAATTATTTTAGACTCTGGACCAAAATGAGAAAAGGATGCTGCTTTAAAACGAGGACTGTGGAAGATGTTGGAGTTCTAAAATGAATCACTGGAAGTCATTGTGAGTTGTGTTTATCCTGTTGCCTTGTTCAAGCATTGGAGAAAGTTGCTGGAGGCGCATAAGCACTGTGGGGGTGTGTTCAGGGCAGTTTTTTCCAAAGACAGTCAGTAGATTGCTTTTTCAACCAGGACCAGTTGTGGGTCAGGAATGCTCAGCCAGACAACAACTCCGTGATTGGCTTGTGGGCAGGCAGACAAACCTGTGTGTGTGCAAAATACAGTGGCAGAAAGCTTCCAGCTGTAAAAAAGACACTATTCTCTCTTACATTTCAAAGAGGTAACAAGCAATTGGAAGATAGCTAGCTATTCTCACTCAGCATTTTCCTGTAAGCTGTTGCCTCTAACCAGTAAATGAGACTCAGCAGTTCAGAATGAGTCATTGGACTCAAAACATTAACTCTGCTTTCTTCCCACAGATGCTGCCAGACCTGCTGAGTTTCAGCAGCAATTTCTCTTTTTGTTTCAGATCTCGAACATCTACAGCTCTTTATTTTGTTTGAAGAGAAATCAGGTTTCTGCACTTAACAAAAGATTATTTATCACAAATGTAATACTCCTGATCACAGGGGAATAAAATATGAGTTATCAACTTAGAAATAAGTGATCGCCTTCTTAAAGCCAAGGGACACATGCAGACAGAAATAAACAAAGGAGCATAGATGGAGAAAGAAAGAAGTCAGGAAAACACTGTTCAATATCGCCAGTCCAGAGAATTCAACAAAGTGCCCTTTTGGTCTTTCCAGGTCCTTCAGTTCACTGATCATCCTTGTACCAAGTCCCCTCAGTTCTTTTGAAGACTCAGGATGGTTTGCACAGCTAACTGTTGAATCCCTCAGTTACTAGTTAGAGGTAATAGCTTATAGGCAAATGGTGACTGAGAATAGCTAGCTCTCTTCAATTCCTCAATAAAAACCAAAAGAACTGTGGATGCTGTAAATCAGGAACAAAAACAAAGTTGCTGGAAAAGCTCAGCAGGTCTGGCAGCATCTGTGGAGGAGAAAACAGTTAACATTTCAGGTCCAGTGACACTTCCTCAGAACTGATGGTGGCTGGGAAAACGTCAGTTTATATGCAGAAAATAGGGAGGTGGGTGGGGTAGGGAGTAAACGATAGGATAGAGCCCAAGGAGAGAGAGAGACATTTGGACAAACAAAGGAGTTGCTAACGATCAGGCTGGGAGGATGAATAGTTGTTACTGGGGACTGTTCGTGACTAACAACAGGGGGTGTGTAATAGCAGGCTGTGGTAACAAGGCCTGGTATGTGGGGTGGGGGGGCTGGGACATGGGAGAGTTTAGGCCCTAAAATTATAGAACTCAATATTGAGTCCGGAGGGCTGTAGGGTCCCCAAGCAGAAAATGAGGTGTTGTTCCTCCAGTTCTGAGGAAGGGTCACCGGACCTGAAACGTTAACTCTACTTTCTCCTTCACAGATGCTGCCAGACCTGCTGAGCTTTTCCAGCAACTTTGTTTTTGTTCCTCCAGCTTGCGTTGGGCTTCACTGGAACACTGTAGCAAGCCAGAGACAGATGTTGGCCAGGGAGCAGAGTGGTGCATTGAAGTGGCAGGCAACAGGTAGTTCAGGTTCTTTTTTGTGAGCAGAACGTAGATGTTCTGTGAAGCTGTCACCAAATCTATGCTTCGTTTCCCCAATGTTAGGAGATCACGTTGTGAGCAGCAAATGTAGTAGACTAGATTCTGGGAAGTGCAGGTGAAGTGTTGCTTCACCCCGAAGGTATGTTTGGGCCCTTGGACACTGGGTAGGGAGGAGGTAAATGGGCAGGTGTTGCACCTTCGCCGGTTACAGGGGAAGGTGCCATAGGGCTGTGGGGAGGTGCTGGGGGTGAAGGAAGTGTGGACCAGGGTGTCCCGGAGGGAACGGTCCCTGCAGAAGGCTGAAAAGGGAGGGGAATATGTATCTGGTAGTGGCATCTTGCTGGAGATGGCGGAAATGACCTCTGATCTTCTGGATGTGGATGCTGGTGGGATGGTAGGTGAGGATAAGGGGAACCCTATCGCTGTTGTGGGAGGGAAGAGAAGGGGTGAGGGCGGAAGTGCGGGAGATGGGTCGGACCTCGTTGAGGGCCCTGTCGACAAAGGAGCTGGGGAATCCTCGGTTGAGGAAGAATGTGGACATTTCGGAGGCTCCCTTGTCAAAGTTGGCCTCATCTGAACATATGTGACGGAGACGGAGGAACTGAGAGAATGGGATGGAGTCTTTACAGGAAGTGGGGTGCGAGGATGTATAGTCCAGGTAGCTGTGGGAGTCAGTGGGTTTGTAGTGGATATTAGTGGCCAGTCTATCCCCAGAAATGGAAACAGAAATGTCGAGGAAGGGAAGGGAGGAATCCGAGCAGGTGAAAGTGAGGGCAGGGTGGAAATTGGAGGCGAAATTGATGAGGTTTTCCAATTCCAGACGAGAGAGGGAAGCAGCACCGATGATATCATCGATGTATCAGAGAAAGTGTTGTGGGTGGGGGCCAGAATAGGACTGGAACAAGGAATGTTCCACATACCCCACAAAGAGACAGGCATAACTAGGACCCATGGCAACCCCTCTTACCTGAAGAAAATGAGAGGAGTTGAAAGAGGAGTTGTTGAGGGTAAGGACAAGCTTGGCCAAGCGGAGGGTGGTGGTGGTGGGTGGGGATGGTTCAGGTCTTTACTCCAGGAAGAAGCGGAGAGCCCTAAGACCGTCCTGGTGGGGAATGGAAGTATAAGGGGATTTTGACATCCATGGTAAAGAGGAGGTGGCTGGAGCCGGTAAACTGGAGGTTTTGAAACCGGCGTAAGGCGTCAGATGAATCATGGATGTATGTGGGTAGGGATTGGACCAGGGTGAGAAAGAAGAGATGAGTTCTGTGGGGCACGAGCAGGCTGAAACAGTGGGTCTGCATGGGCAGTCCTGTTTTGTGGATTTTCAGAAGGAGGTAGAAGTGAGCTGTGTGGGCCAGTGGGACTATCAGCTTGGAGGCAGTATTTGGGACATCACCAGATGAAATGAGGTCAGTTACCGTAGTTAATACAATGGCCTGATGTGCCACGGTGAGGTCATGGTACGGGGAAGATGGGAGGAGGTATCTGAGAGCTGGTACTCAGACTCTGCAATGTTGAAGTCCGTACGGCAGACTACAACAGCACCACCTTTATCGGCAGGCTTAATAACATAGTCAGGGTTGGACCTAAGTACATGGAGTGCAGTCGGTTCAAAGGGAGATAGGTTGGATTGGGTGAGGGGGGGGGAGCGGTGGGAGCAGAGAAATTGAGGCAACTGATGTCACTTTGATAGTTCACAATGAACAGATGCAGGTAAAAGGCCAGAGGAAGGAGTCTAGGTGGAGGGAGAGTGTTGGAACTGGGTGAAGGAGTTTACAGGATGGGGAGAGGACTCTTTTCTAAAGAAATGGGCCCAGAGGCAAAGACAGCGGAAGAAGAGTTTGGCGTCATGTCGTGCCCGAAGTTCATTAAGGTGGGGACGCAGAGGGATAAACTCCTTTGTTGGAGTTTAGAATAATGAGATGAGTCCTATGAAATGTATATATTTCTGAAAGGCTGGGCAGATTGGATGCAAAAAATGTATTTCCTCCATCAGTGGAGTCAAGAACAAGGGTCACAGTCTTAGGACATGAGGTGACCATTTCGGACTGAGATGAGGAGAAATTTCTTTGCTCCGAGGGTGGTGAACCTGTGGAATTCTCTATAATGTATGGTTGTAGAGGTCAATTTATTGAATATACTCAAAAATGAAGCATATAGATTTCTAGACATTAAAGGCGTCAGGGGTAAGGGGAGTGAGCATTGAGACAGAAGATTAGCTATGAGACTGCAGAGCAGGGTTAATGGGCCAAATAGCCTATTTTCTCTCCTGTTTTTAGTGTTAGCTTCCCAAGACAGCATTTCCTTTTTCCACTCATAAGAAATATTTTGAAACCAGCTGCAATCAAGAAGATTTAAGATGTGATGCATCACTGACCTGACAAGTTTTAAGTTCGTTGGCTCACGTGGGATTGGAACTTAAGTATTCATTTCTCTAGATGTAATGTTTAAATATTTTATTTGCCTTTGAAACATTCTTGACTTTAGCTACAGTGTAGTACTTAACTCCAGTACGTCAGAATTAGTATCTGATCCAGTCTGATTGCCCAACTGGCTTGGCAGGCCAATCAAGCTTCACATGCTGCTTGTTTAAATATAACATCTTTCTGTGACAGAGAACAATGAACAAGGATGGCAGTAACAAATAGGATTGTTGATTTAAAGTTCCTCTAGCTGTATTCTGGTTAATATTGAAGCCAATATATTTACCAGCATTACAAGCCTAGCTCCCAATTTTAAGAACCACCCTAATCTTTATTAATAACCTATTGCTCAAATTCTGCTGCACCACTCCATAAGAAATCAACATTCATCATGAAGGTAGCTGAAAGCTTGCCTTTTAACTGAAACTGACTAAAAACACTGTGGTATTTACTTGCAATTCTACATAACCTGTTTCTGCAATGTAAATTTCACCAAAACAAAACCACACCCAGAAACAACATTCAAAGATGCACTTGTTTAGTTTCTGTAGTTTTTCTTCATCTGCTGCCTCTTTGGCTAGTTTCAGAAACATCCTTTGAAAAATATCACCCACATGGCTTTTATGTTGAACGATCTAACTTCAGAAATAGCCAAAGGAATTCAAAAAAATTGTCAAGATTACTTTTCCAGATGTGGGAGAGTCCACTCAAATATCTGTACCACCCAGTCACTCTTTAAAATTCCTAGTTTACCTTGAACTTTCTAAGTTCTGTCAACCAGTACTTTCGGTACAAGTCCACATCTGTGAAGAGATAGCAGCAACTGCAGATGCTGGAAAATCTGAGACAACAAGGTGCAGAATCTGGTGAAGGGTCTAGGCCCGACACGTCAGCCCTACTGCTCCTATGATGCTGCTTGGCCTGCTGTGTTCATCCAGCTCTGCACCTTGTTGACTCCACATCTGTGAAGACTGGTTGCCCCTT